TGCCACCCTGGACCAAACTGCCAGCCCCAGCCACATCCAAGAACGCAGCATCAGAAATTCCAGCGCTCCTGCTGGCCAGCTGGCAGCTGATGTGGCAGGGGGGCAGATGACGTGGCGAGGGAGGGCAATGGCGTGGCAAACGAGATTGACTACGTGGCATCGTTAAACAGAGCTCTACCTGACGATATTCGTGTGCTGGCGTGGGCTCCTGCACCTTCCGACTTCAGCGCCAGGTGGGGTGGGGTTGACTGAATGCGAAGCGAAGCGACTATTAAGTCGACTATAATTAGTCTGAGTAAGGTTTTGCTTGTATGGGCTCCTTCCCCTCCTGACTTCAGCGGCAGATGCGCTCTGGTTGACAAATTTGGCTTCTTTTTTGTTTCTCTGTACAGCCCAGCTCTCTGCTCCTCTCTCCTTTTGCTTCTCTGTACAGCCCAGCTCTCTGCTCCTCTCTCCTTTTGCTTCTTTGTACAGCCCAGCTCTCTGCTCCTCTCTCCTTTTGCTTCTTTGTACAGCCCAGCTCTCTGCTCCTCTCTCCTTTTGCTTCTCTGTACAGCCCAGCTCTCTGCTCCTCTCTCCTTTTGCTTCTCTGTACAGCCCAGCTCTCTGCTCCTCTCTCCTTTTGCTTCTCTGTACAGCCCAGCTCTCTGCTCCTCTCTCCTTTTGCTTCTCTGTACAGCCCAGCTCTCTGCTCCTCTCTCCTTTTGCTTCTCTGTACAGCCCAGCTCTCTGCTCCTCTCTCCTTTTGCTTCTCTGTACAGCGGTGAACTTTGCGCCCAGTTCACCACTCATGCCATGCCTTCCTCTCCGCTCGGTTCTCCTCCCATCTGCTATTCTCCTGGCAGGTTCAGCTGCTTGGAGCGAGAATACAGATATTACTTTGTGGACGAGCCTGGCCTTGACATTCTGGTAATCTTTGCGTCTCCATACCTGTCCATTGATTTTTGAGGCGCCTCAAAAATCATACCTCTCCGTTGCTCGCTCGTTCTAGCAAATTTGTTTCCACCCCGCCCTTTTTTTTAGGGGCCTCAAAAGTAGACTCCTTGTGTGTCCATTTTTTAGGCGCCTCAAAAATAGACTCCTTGCTTGCAACTCCATACCTCTCCGCTGCTTGCTCGTTCTTGCGAGTTTGTTTCCAGCCCCCCCTTTTGTTTCTCGCCTCTCTCCGCTATATTAGGCTAGCTTCTCCCCTCCCGCCCTTCCTCTCCCCTCTTCTCGGTGGTTGGTTCCCTTTCCTTGCTTTCAGGCCAAGCAGACAGCAGCAGCGCTCTTTGAATGACGTCACGACTTCTGAGTTGATTCAAAAGTCACATTCTCTACTCTCCCTCTCTTCGTTTCCCCCTTCTCCCTACCCCCCCCCCCCCCCCCCTCCTCCTCCTACCTTGCTCTCAGGCGATGCAGCGAGCAGCAGAGCTCTTCAAGGGCCGTCACGACTTCCGCAATGTCTGCAAGATGGACGTGGAGAACGTCAAGTCGTTTGAGCGGGATATCATGTCGTGCCGCATCGTGCCCTTTGCCGGCCCCTTTGCTGCCCGCTTGCTGCCCTCTCTTCCCGTGAGTCATTCCTTTGGCCACCTCTTCTCGCCTCGCCTCTCTATGTGAGTGGAGATGAGGTTTCAGCCATTGCCTTTTGAGTCGACTCAAGAGCCATTGCCTGCAAGATGGACGCAGAGAACGCCATGCCGTTCGATTCAAGAGAGAGACATCATGGCGTGCCGCATGGGCATGGCGCCCTTTGCTGTCCCCTTTGCTGCCCCCGTTGCTGGCCTCTCTCCCCGTGAGTTGCCTCTGTACCTGACTAGAGCCACGTTGAGTCGACTAAAAAAACCGCGTGTAATGAGTCTGCTTTTGATTAGACTGAAAAGCGTGTAATGAGTCTGCTTTTGAGTCGACTAAAAAGACCGTGTGTAATGAGTCTGCTTTTGAGTCGACTAAAATGACCGTGTTGTAATGAGTCTGCTTTTGAGTCGACTCAAAAGCAGACTCCCCGCAAGTTGCCCATCTGAAAACCTTATCTCTATCTGACTGGAGCCGCATTGTACCGCATTGTGCCGCATCGTGCCCTTTGCTGTCTTTTCATGTGAGAAGTCCATCTCAAACATTCCCCTCTCTGTCTGACTGGATGGAGCCAGTCTCTGTAACATGGAGGCAGAGAATGCCAAGTCACACATCGAGAAAGAGAATATTTTTCTCAGAGGACGCGAGCGTTATTTTCTCTGGGTTATTAACCAATGGAAGGAAAGACGACTTTTGAGTCGACTCAAAAGACGGTTTCCTCTTGTGTGGATATGCGTATCAGGCGTCATGATGGAAGCACTTGTGCCGGAGCTTCCTTGTGTTGATTGAGACGCCATTCTTGTGCCCCTGCAATGATTCCTCACCACCTGGCTGGCTGCAGCTTCTGGGGTAGTTTTGTATTGTTGTCGAAAACGCCCAGTCACACATCTAGGAAATTTCCCCTTTTTTGAGAAATTCCAAGGAATCGCTTGAGTCCAGAAAAATCGAAATCCTTAAGCAAGCCCCCCACGCTTGTGTTCCTTCCATGTTGACTCACCTCCCGGCTGCAGCTTCTGGGGTAGAGTCGAACCCAAGCAAGCCCCCCCAGCGTCCGTCGGTGTGGGTGCTGCAGGTGGTTGGGACGGCATTTCTCTGGCACCAGATTCGATGCATGATGGCCGTGCTGCTAATGGTGGGGCGGGGGCAGGAACGACCCGAGGTGAGTGAGTGAAGCTAGCGTGATGGCTGTTGGTATCAGTGTTCAGAGTGAAAGGTGGTGGGAACGGTGTTCTTTTGGCACCATATAGGATGCATGATGACCATGTTGCTGGTGGTGGGAAACAAGAGCAGCCTTAAAAACCTGAAGCCCTAATTGTTCATATGCACTGCATATGAATTGGGCGCGACCATGGTGGAAAAAGCCTTGCGAGGCAGCGGTTCTGAAAAAGCTTGAGCTGAAGGGATGTTCAGGAGGTTTTGATGGAAAACCAGTGATGAACTAGTTTCGGCTTATACAAGCCTTCATCAGCTTATGAATTGGGCGCGAGGAGTCTATTTTTGAGGCGCCTCAAAAATTGTTCATACGCACTGCGTATGAATTGGGGTCGTGGGTGTAGTGAAAATAACAAGCTGTTTTGCGAAGTCGTTTTTTCGCGAAACGAAACACAGGTGGCGAATGTTCAATTGGAATTTGGTCCGTCAGATTTTGTCAGAATCGGATCGGACGGCCCACACGAAGTACGGGGGGTGGGGTTTGCAGTGTATGGAAACCTTGGATCATTGGCCATTAGATGACAATCGGACGGCTATGAAGCAATGAGCACGAAGCAATGAGCACGAAGCAATGAGCACACGAAGCAATGAGCACACGAAGCAATGAGCACGAAGCAATGAGCACACGAAGCAATGAGCACACGAAGTCCCAAATTGCTTTGCGCACTCAACTCGAAAGTGACCCCTCAAGTGACGAGTGTGAAGTTACCCCTAGACCCCCACGAAAGGGAGAATTTCAAATGCACTGCGGGTTATAATTGAGCTTAGAATTTTTCAAATGGGCGGAAACAACGACTCAAAGAGCTCGTTTGGCACCATAGTCGATGCATGATAGTCGAGCTGTTGATGGTGGGCCGAAGACAGTAGCATTTTCAGGTGACCTTGGAACTTGGCTGATGTCAATTGGGTTGATAAATGCAGGTGCTGCTAGTGCGTTGTCCCAAAGCGCCTCCAGGTGTTATAAGACGCCCGAGAGCATTGTCATGCAGGTGCTGCTGGTGCGTCCGGTGCCGCCAATGCGGCAGTTGCAGAGGTGAGGTGTCAGAGTGTCACGAGCGCACATGGTCGGTTCTCGGCGAATACAGTAGGTCGAGGCCGCCTGGGCCAACCTGCTTCTGCGATCGCAGTGGCACTAGATTTGCACTTCCGAGATCGTCCCCGGTATCTGTTGGGCAGTCATCATCTGTTGGGCAGTCATCATCTGTTGGGCAGTCATCATCTGTTGGGCAGGCATCATCTGGAGCACCAGTCATCATCTTGTAAAGCCACGCTCGGCTCCCCAGGCGTGATCGTCGATCGCGCAGCGGCTACAACGCCAGGCGTGGCTTTACCTCCGCTACCAGCTAGCTGCAGGACTCCAGGCGACGACCGTCCAACTGGCACGTTAGGCGATCTAAGGGTGTGCTTTTTCGTGCCACTACGATTTCGAAAGTAGGTTGACCCATGCACCTTTGACCTGCTGTTTTCGTTGAGAACCAAATGTGCGCTTGTGACACCTCGCCACTGTAGCTACTGCACTGGCAGCACCTGACTCACCAGCAACACCTGCATGACAAATGAAACAAAGTGTTAGTGGGGATCTCAGTTTTTCTTGCTCTGGTTCCCATCCAGTGATGTCAGTGTCATAAGGGCCCAAGTGTCAAAAGCGCTGCACAAGGGGCCTCAAAACTGAGCAAAACTCTCATGACCCCTTCTTCCCCCCACCCTCCTGCCGCACCCCAAACCCTCTCCCACCACTACTTAGCATGCTCCCCTTTTTTCTATACTGCAAGTACAGATGGTATCAGAGCTTCTGAGAGTGCACGATGGACCCTTCACCACCAGCAAGCCCTGCAATACGCCCCTGCTGCCTTTTGAAGCGCCTCAAAAGCAGACTCCGTACTCCCCCGCCCACCTTGATGTGTATTGCGAGTGCAGGTGGTATCAGAGCTTCTGAGAGTGCACAATGGGCCCTTTACTAGCCAGTCCCAGTACGCCCTGCATGAAGGACCTTTCTCCAGCAATCCTTAGTACGCCCCTGCTGCCGACCCCTCAAGCAAGTCCTCTACTCTCTTGATTCTTATTTCGAGAACGCAGGTGGTATCAGAGCTACCGAGGGGGCACAATGGGCCCTTTAGCAGCAAGCTCCAGTACGCCCCTTTTGCCTTTTAAGGCGCCTCAGAAGCAGTCTCCGTACCCCTCCCGCCCACCTTGATGTGTATTGCAAGCGCAGGTGGTATCAGAGCTTCTGAGAGTGCATGATGGACCCTTCACCAGCAAGCCTCAGTACGCCCCTGCGGATCCCCATGGCTTGGTGCTGCACCGATGCGCCTTCCCTGCCTCCCTGCGCTTCAGCTGCTCTGCCAGTGAGCTACTCTTGTAGTTTTGAGGCGCCTAAAAACTTCAGCTGCTCTGCCAGTGAGCTACTCTTCTAGTTTTGAGGCACCTCAAAACTTCAGCTGCTCTGCCAGTGAGTGATTTTTTAGTCGACTCAAAAATAGCCTCCCTGCGCTTCAGCTGCTCTGCCAGTGAGCTACTCTTCTATGTATGCATGCACATGCACCTCCCCCCTTTCACCAGCAAGCCCCAGTATGCTTCCGCCAACCCCCATGGCTTGGTGTTGCACCGATGCTCCTTCCCCGCCTCCCTGCACCTCCACTGCTCCTCGAGTAAGCCATTTGCTGACCCATGCGGCCTCAAGAGGATGAAGCCCACATGCTCACGCCCATGCCCATGCCCATGCCCATGCACGTGCATCCCCCTCAAAGCCACATTCCTGCGGTGCTCCTTCACACGTCTCTCCCTCTCACCACCAGGTGCCATGTGCTGCTGTATCAGTCAATCCGCCAGCAGCTAAACGCAGCCCTCATCAAATGCTCTTGACCCTCCGCCCCCTACCCACCGCCCTCCCCTCCCCCCACTCCCTCCCCCTCCCCCATTCCTTTAACCCCCAAACAACATCTTCTCCCTCTACCAGATGCCAAGCGCCTCCTCTGTCGGTCAATCCGCCAGCAGTTGAACGCAGCCCTCATCCGATGCTCCGTGCTGCAATCTGCACTTGACGCTGCGGAGTCTGCTGCTGCTTCCTCCGCTGCTGATCCCTCTGAGTTCTTCTCAGAGGGGGAGGGTGGAGAGAAGAAGCTGGCCCACATTCCGCTGCACCGGAGACCAAGAGAACGTGAGAACACACAGTCCCATCCCCCCCACACTGTCCCACTTGTGCGTGATGACGTTTCATTGTTCTGTTGGGCTGGGAGAGAGCCTTGCATACCTCAACACCGTCCATCACCCCTGCTAACCTCCTCGTTGATTCGACCCGCTCTTTTCACCAGTTCTCAGTCGTCTTTATCCAAGATTTTTCTGGAATTTTGTTGTCACAATTCTTTCCAGGCTGTGCTGGTTTCTGCGCCGACCTTGACACTCTTCGTTACACAACCCCCTTGCATTTCGTTTGCCTGCTTTTCTGTGGGCATGAAATGAAAACCAGCATCCCTTGAAGAGCGAAGAAAGAAGCTTGAGGAGAGACCACCACGCCGATAAGGGCGTCCCGTCCCGGTGCCAATAAGGACATCCCTTGTCCCAGTGCCGATAAGGACATCCCTTGTCCCAGTGCTAGTTAAACACTTCAGCGCTAGTTGCCTGCCACTAGTTGCTCCTGGAGCAAAGCTGCCATAACGCTCCAGTCTAGGAAAGAACGGTATTTTCTAGCACTCCAGCTGTCAAATTCATCCTGGTGTGAGTTCAGTTACCAATGCTTATCTAGTGGCATGTTGTTGTAACAAACTTGCCATATGAAGTAAGGACACAAGAAGCCTCCAGTCCTCCTGGTTGTTGGACGCACAATATGAGTTGGTGTGTTAGAAGGATATACGGTAACAGCTAACGGGGTAACAAGAATGTGCTTTCCAACAGAAGTGCCAAACCTAGACTGCGTTTCCACTACTACTACCGTACTACCACCATCAATGCCCCCCTCCATGCCTGCTAGGAAGCCAGACAGCAGTGAAACATCCTCCCCACCTGCGCACACTGTCTCCTCCCATCAAACACACTGTCTCCTCCGCTCTCCGGTATGCCAAAGAAGCCGGGATGAGAAGAGGATTTCCGGATTAAACACTTGCCACCCCCCACCTGCTCTTTCCATGTCCCCCCTGGTGTCTGCCACGAAGCCAGCCAGCAGCGCCTGCATGCATGCTCTCCCTCCAGACGGCAAAGAGCGCCGGGATGACGAATAGAGTGCCCTGCCCTGGATTAACAGCTGAGTTTCCGGAATCCTATAAAATCACCTACCCACCTGAAGAAACGTGCCCTGCATGAACAGTTGTCCCCCCACCGCCACCGCCACCGCCACTGCCACCGCCACCGCCACCGCCATCAAATGTGCCCCTCAGAGTCTGCCAGGAAGCCTGCCAGCAGTGCCTGCACGCTCTCCCTCCGGATGGCAAAGAGCGTCGAGATGAAGCGAGTGCCCTGCCTAGACAGTTGTCCCCCCCCTTTCCCCCCCCCCTCCCCACCCCCCCCCAAAATCAATGCCCCCCTCCCCCGTCAATACCCTCCCCCTCCATCTGTCCCCCCCTCCATGTCTGCTAGGAAGCCTCCCAGCAGCGCCTGCACATCACTCTCTCTCCGAATGGCAAAGAGAGTGGAGATGAAGAAGCGGGTGCCCTGCCTAAACAGTTGTCCTCTCCTTGATTTTGCAGGGTGTTTTTGAGAATTCTAAAAAACACCCTGCAAAAAGTGGAGATGAAGAAGCGGGTGCCCTGCCTAAGCAGTTGTCCTCTCCCCCCTCTCCCCCCTCTCTCCCCCCCTCCCGCAAATCAATGCCCCCCTCCCCCGTCAATACCCTCCCCCTCCATCTATCTCCCCCTCCGTGTCTGCCAGGAAGCCTGCCAGCAGCGCCTGCACGCTCTCCCTCCGAATGGCAAAGAGCGTCGAGATGAAGAAGCGGGTGCCCTCTATCTTGAACTCCTCCAGGGGGTTCTCGCGCCCAAAGCCCTGCACGCTCACCTGAGGGAGGCAGGAGAAGCATTACAAGGGGGGAATGGGGCGAGACGCAGAGGGAGACGAGGTGGGGATGTGAGCATGTAGGGCACGACAGGCAAAGAGAGTGCAGATGAAGAAGCCAGTGCCCTCTGTCTTGAACTCCTCCAGGGGGTTCTCCTGCCCGAAGCCCTGCACACTGCGGATGGGGGAGAGGGGTAGCGGGTTGGGAGGGATGAAGGGGATTTGTGAGAGGGAGCGAGCAAGGCGACAGATGGAGTCTGTGTGAAGAAACGAAAGCCCTCTATCTTGAATCCCAGCAGGTCTCCCACGCAAAGCCCTGCACATTCAGCGGGGCCTCCCCTGAAGGAGATGCAAGCAAGCATTCGGAGGGGAGTGGCAACTACGAGGGATGAAGGGGGGCTAAGGGCGGAGCGGGTATAGAGGCTTGCAAGCCATACTTGACAGGGGGTACGGAGGCAACAGGGAAAGCAGTGCTTCCCACATCTTCAATTTTCCCACAACCCCCATCCCGCAGCACTTGCGACCCCCAGCCCCCCCAGAGAACCCACAGCCCGCAGCCCCCCCAGCACTCGCACTCCCCAGCCCCCCCAGCACCCACAGCCCCGAAGCCCCCCAGCGCTGACACTGCCCATGCCTCACACCCCCAAGCCCATGTTGGCAACTTGGCAATGTGCACGCTCCACAGGCGGTCCACTGTGGAAAGCAGCCTAGCATGGCCCACATCCCCCCCCCCCCTTCCCCCCATTACCCCCACGTCCCTCAGCGCTGATTATTCCTCCCTCCCCTATTTACCACGTTCCTGAGTCGTGCCATGTTGGCAATGTGCACGCTCCACAGGTGGTCCAACGTGGAAAGCAGCCTAGCACAGCCCAAATCTCCCAACTCCCAGCCACACCCCACAATCCCCCCCCCTTCCCCCCATTACCCCCACGTCCCTCAGCGCTGATTATTCCTCCCTCCCCTACTCACCACGTTCCTGAGTCGTGCCATGTTGGCAATGTGCACGCTCCACAGGCGGTCCAACGTGGAAAGCAGCCTAGCACGGCCCAAATCTCCCAACTCCCAGCCACACCCCACAATCCCCCCCCCATCCCCCCCACAATCCCCCCCCTTTCCCCCCACAATCCCCCCCCCTTCCCCCCATTACCCCCACGTCCCTAAGCGCTTATTCCTCCCTCCCCTACTCACCGCGTTCCCCAGTCGTGCCATGCTGGCAATGTGCACGCGTCACAGGCAGTCCAGTTTGGAAGCAGTCTCGCAGTCTCCATACCTCCACATCTGGCATCTGGCAATGTGGCCCTCCCCTACTCACCGCGTTCCTCAGTCGCGCCATGTTGGCAATGTGCACACTCCACAGGCGGTCCAACGTGGAAAGAAGAGCCTCCCTCTGCTTGGGGGAACATGACGAGGGGACAGGGGGAATCGGGGGATGACTTTTGAGTCGACTCAATAGTTCTGAGGCGTCTCGAACCTATATTTTAATCATCTCTCTCACCTCGACCATTTGCACTGGCGAGGATAATCTGTGTGAAAGATAGATATCTGTGTGACGGGGGGAATCGGGGGATGACTTTTAAGTCGACTTTTGAGTCGACTCAACAGACTCAGTAGTTTTGAGTCGACTCAATAGTTTTGAGGACATCTCAAACCTAGATTGATATCAGCTGTCTCACCTCGCAAAATTCCATCTGGTCTGGCGAGGCGGCAAACAGGGCGAGGTGCGCCTTGTAACACGTTACCACCACATCGCCAAGGTACTTTCGCACTGCTGCCAGGTGCTTGGACGACCTGCCCCTCCTGGGCAGAGGGAAGGAGTGGGAATACAAGGAGTGAGGGGGAATTAGGAGGATTGTGGAGAATCTCACTCCATGGGAGAATCTCCTGGGCGCGTAAGAGAATCAGACAGGTCGGGGAGAATCTTCCTCAAATGGAGCCAAGAGGTCTTCAACGATAGTTGTCAGAGAGTATCAGAACTCAGTCCGGCTCAAAGGAGGTGACTTTCAATTCGACCCACAAGTCACCTCGCTACAATGTCAGTCACACGACACCCCTCCATCGGAGGAGCCAAGAGATCTTCAGGCATAGCTCTCAGAGGGGAGCAGCAGACTTCAGTCAGGCTTAAAGCATAACAGAATAACAGCGCTAGCACAGCGTATGTGCTTGCACTTCCAGGTCGACTTTTGAGTCTCGCTAGTCCGCGCTTGCACCTACAGGTCGGACGGGTCGCGGAGAATCTCCCTCCATCTCAGCTCCTGCCGAGCTGCTCCCTCCGTGCCGTGGGCCCCCCCATCCCCAGTCTCAACTGCACCACCACCAGCACCACCAGCACCAGCAGCACCAGCAGCACCAGCAGCCTTGGAGCCTCCCCCAAGGGGCGGCAGCACTTCAGGCAGGGGCGGCAGGACGTTGGGCAGGTGGTTTAGGAGGTCCCAGCGGTGACCAGCATTGCTTGGAGGGGAGTGGGACAGGGCTGAACTGAGGGAGGCGGCATTTACATGCTGGGATAGTTCTGATGAGGGGAGGGATGGAGTAAGGGAGGGAGGGAGGGGGGAAGAGGAACAAAAAGCTTCATATCGCAAGGTGTCTGAGAGGAGGGGAGTGGGACAGGGCGGGCAGCACTGAGGGAGGTGGCATCCACGTGCTGGTTGGGAATGGTCTGGAAGGGAGAGGATGCGGAAGGGGGCGGGGGGGGGAAGGAAGGGAGGACGGGAGGGGGGGAGGACGGGAGGGGGGGGAAGACGGGAGGGGGGGAGGGAGGAAGGGAGGGAAGAAAGCGGCACCATGGGAAGTGTCTCGTGTGTGATCATTATAAAGTGGATGGGAGTGGGACAGGGCAGCACTGAGGAAAGTGGCATCCACGTGCTGGGAGTCTGGTGGAGGGAGGGACGGAGGTGGCAGATGTGAGTGAGGTGGCAGATGGCAGAGAGAGGCTCTAGAAACTGTACTTGTGCCACATGTATGCGTGAAGAGTACAGCATGCATGCATGCATGTGTGCGATGTGTGAACAGTACCTATGCCAGTTGTGCGAGAGAGGCGTTTGAGCATGGTGTCGATGGGCCATGACTCCACAGGCTGGTGTTTCGGGGGGGAGGCGAGGAGGAAGACAACGGGAGAGGGGGGCAGGAGGGGGTGGGAGGGAGTGAAAGGGAGTGAGAGAGAGTGAAAGGGAGTGAAAGGGAGTGGAAGGGAGTGGAAGGGAGTTAAAGGGAGTGGGAGGGAGTGGGAGGGAGTGAAAGGGAGGTGACAGGAAACTGAGGCGTTTGAGCATGGTGTCGATGGGCCATGACTCCACAGGCTGGGGATGGGAGATGGGGGGAGGAGGACGGATGGAGAGGGGACAGCGTGGGGAGGGATGTGAAAGTTTGGGCATAATGGATGCGTGTGACAGTGATCTAGTTGTGAGCTGTCTCAAAAGCAAATGACTATCACATGGGTTATGGAGGCGGGGGCAGTATGGATTGCATGCACGCTGGACGTAGGTCAAGACATGCCATCACGCAGTGCTTTTGAGTCAACTCAAAGCAGATGGAGAGGGGGGGGACGTAAGGAGGTGACTTCTTAGTCGACTCAAAACGCGTCGTGTGACATTGCAACGAGGTAACTTTTTTAGTTGACTAAAAACGTGGCGTATGACATTGTAATAACGAGGTGACTTGTGAGTCAACTCAAAGCAGATGGAGAGGGGGAGACGTAAGCAGGCATATGGAGGTGGGGACATGTTGGATGGCATTGCACTGCATTGCATCGCATTGCATTGATCGGACGGAGGTCATGTCATGTCATGTCATGGCATCACACAGTGATTAAGGGGGCCCATGTGACGGTGAAACGCCAAGACTCTGGCTGGTTCACCTTGGAGGGGGAGCAGTACTCCTTGACTATGTCATCCACCACCGCTTGGATGTACCTGAGTGGGTATGGCATGGATGAGAGGATGGGTGGAGGGATGTAGGGAAGAGAGGAGGGTGTTAAGAAGGCCTTTCAAACATGGGAGCAGCACTCCTTGACTGTGGCTTCCAATACTGCTTGGATGTACCTGAGTGGATTCATACGTGAGTGGGCGGGCGGGTGGGTGTGTGGGCGTGCCATAAGAGAAAAGAAGTGCTGTGAGGTGAGGCAGCTCGGAACACGGGAGCAGCACTCCTTGACTGTGGCATCTACCACCACTTGGATTGGATGTACCTGAGTGGGTATGGTATGGATGAGGGGATGGGTGGGTCACCATTCAAGCACATGCACACAATTGTTGGACAAATACGTGTGGCCACTCGTTGCACACATTCACGCTTTGTGCAGCCACTCCACTCGCAGTGACTCATGCGTGCGTACGCAACATCCATCCATGCATAACTCAACATACACATGAGTGAATCGTGCTTCTGAGAGTTCTTCCAAACAAATCCCAGCCAAATCCTATCAAGCCGGAAGTGACCCATGCGTAGACGACACTCATGGCGCAGTTTGACATTCAAACTTGAGACGCCTCCAGATCAGCACTCTCAACTGATAACGCGCTTGCTTGCGCTGAACCCGCCTTTTGAGGCGCCTCAAAAGCAGACTCACAGCTGTGCTCGTGTGTGCCGATCTGCTGGAGACTCCTCCAGAATCAGCTCTCGCAGCTCATACACTTGCTTGCGCTGGAGCTGCCATGGGTTGATGTTAAGGGAGAGGGAGAGGAAGAGTGAACGGAATAAGGGAGAAGCAAATTATTGTACACTTGCTTGCGCTGGAGCTGCCATGGGTTGATGTTAAGGGAGAGGGAGAGGAAGAGTGAACGGAATAAGGGAGAAGCAAATTATTGTACACTTGCTTGCGCTGGAGCTGCCAGGGGTGTGGAAAGCACAGGGAGAGTGAGAGTGAATGAGAAGAGGTGGAGCGAATTGACAATAAGAGGAGGTGGAAAGAATTAACTCTCTGCAACTCGTACACTAGCTTGCGCTGGAGCTGCAGGGAGATACACGAGAGGCGGGAGAGGGAGAAAGTGAGAGGGGGAGGGGGTGAGAAAGGGAGGAGGGAGAGGGAGTGAGAAAGCGAGGGGGAGAGGGAGTGAGAAAGCGAGGGGGAGAGGAATTGAGAAGGGAAGAGTGTGGGGGAACAGCTTGTGTAATGAGTCGACTCAAAAATCGACTCATTACACACAGCTTGTACACTTGCTTGCGCTGGAGCTGCAGGGAGATGCAAGAGAAAGGAGAGCAGGAGGGAGAGGGAGAGGGAGAGGGATGGGAAGAGCAAGAGGGAGAGCGGGAAGGACGGAAAAGGGAGGGTGAAACGGAAGAGGTGGGATGGGAAAACAGATTGTACGCATATCGGTGTAACTGCCAAGGTGTGAAGGGCATGCGGAGAGCAAAAGAGAAAGTGGACGAGCAAAACGAAGCACAAGGGGAAAAACAGCTTCTATATGCCTGCTGCAGCCCACGTGGGCTTCAAGCTTTCAAACTTCAAACAAAATGCCCTTAGCATCGAGTTCTCACCTCAATTGCAAGAGCAGCTCCCCTAAAAAATCTCGTCAAAGTCAAGCATTTGCCAGCGTCTTTCAAACATGGCAGCAGCACTCGGGCAACCAATGAGGACTGCCGTCTGCCGACACCACCCAACCCAAAAAACAATCCAGCTCACGTCAATTATTAAAGAAGCTCACCTCGAAGACCTGATCGTAGTCAAGCATTTGCCGCCGCCTCTCAAACATGGCCGCTTCTATCGTCTTCTGCGTCTGCACCAACTGGTGAAGGGCAGGGGGGTGAAGGGCGTTTAAAGAGGGGTTGAGAGGGGTTTGGAGGGGGAGAGGGAGGGGATGATCAGGGTGCGTGTGTTTTGTCTCTCAAACAGGGCAGCTTCTACCGTCTTCTGCGTCTGCACCAACTGGAGAGGGTAGGGGCTGGTTCAGGGAATTTGGGAGGGGTTGGAAGCGGTACGGAGGAGGAAAGGTGGAGGTAGGTTTGCGAGCAAGGCGTCTCTCAGACATGGCAGCCAGCTTCTGTGCTCTTCTGGCAGCCAGCTTCTATGCTCTTCTGTGCTCTTCTGGCAGCCAGCTTCTGTGCTCTTCTGTGCCCTTCAGTGCTCTTCTGTGTGCCAGAAACATGGCAGCGATGCTGAAAGGGTGCAGGCCGTGTGTGTGCGAAAGCCCTCCTCAAAGTCGCCCGGTGTACAGCAGCTGCTACAGCAGGGCTCTACAGAGGCTTTTCTTAAAGCAAACATGTTTCTTTCTTACAGCCAGTTGTTCTTACAGCGAGGGTCAAGGCCACGTGGGGGAAGCCCTCTTCAAAGTCGCCTGTATAAAGCAGCTGCTCTAGCATGGCTCGGGATGAGTCCGGCAGCACCTCGCGCATCATGTCGTCCTCCATGCTGGTATGGAGGAGATAGGGGCGGGAGCGGGGAATGGGGAGGGGGGAGGTGGGGAGAGGACATGGGCTGATTCCAACCTGTGCATAGAGTCGAATCAGCCAGCCCGATTTTCACCTGATGACAACCTGATACGCACGTGATTCGCACATGATTCTCAACTGATTTCACCTGATTCTCACCTGCCTATACACCTAGCTCGCACGGTGGAGTAATTCTTGAGAATTCTCGCACATCTAACACATCTAACACAGTTGTCGAGTCCACATCTAACTCGCACAATGGAGTCCACATCTAAATCGCACAGTGGAGTCACACTCAACCACATTCGGACATCGGCTCAACGAACTTCTTGCTCGTGCCTCTCCTAAACGTGGACCCCTCGTTTTGCTGTTTGTGCTTATTTCGTTTTTTGCTCCGTCCACACTTTCTCAGCCACGGTTTTCCCCCGCGAGATGAATCCTAGGCGGCATCCTCTAGGGGTATAAGTAGTGCTTGTTTTCATTTAAGACTCAGTGGTCTGAAGAAGGCTTTTCGAGCCAAAACCGGTTACCACCATCATTCTTCCAAGAGTTTCTACAAGCACTCTACGAACTAACATTCACAGGTGTCACTATATACTAGCTGCCACCTATTGACAACATGACACCTAACTGGTGTTCCAGAGGACTCCACATTTAACTCGCACCTGATGACGAACTGAGTTGACCCGGGGTCACCCTGCCGGCCTGCTCTTCCCCTCAACTGCCATGCAGAGACAGGAACACATACGATAAGGAAATAGGATACAAGAAATGGTATGCAAGATATTAAATATTAGAGATGAGATACTAAACAAAGCAATAACCCTACCATTTCCCGTTCATCATCCCCAGCGCCCCCCCCACCACCACCCGCACCACCGTTCCCTGCACTGAGCTTCCTGGGACATCAAAACACACCTGATGCTGAACCCAGCAGCATACCTCGCCTGATTGTCATCCCAACAGCACCCAACAGCACCCAACAGCACCCAACAGCACCCTCACCTGGTTGTCAATCCGCCTTGACTCGCTCAGTGCCGTGCCAACAACGTGCAGCCCGCCCAGGCTCCTCACGTACTCGCCCTCCTCCCTGCAGTGCGCCTTGCAGTCCGCGTTCACTCACCATAAAACGCCTCAGAACCCAAGGACGCCCCTCACCTGGTTGTCAATCCGCCTCGACTCGCTCAGTGCCGTCCCTATGACGTGCAGCCCGCCCAGGCTCCTCACGTACTCGCCCTCCTCCCTGCAGTGCGCCTTGCAGTCCGCGTTCACTCACCATAAAACGCCTCAGAACCCAAGGACGCCCCTCACCTGGTTGTCAATCCGCCTCGACTCGCTCAGTGCCGTCCCTATGACGTGCAGCCCGCCCAGGCTCCTCACGTACTCGCCCTCCTCCCTGCAGTGCGCCTTGCAGTCCGCGTTCACCATCCCCAGCGCCCGCCCCACCACCCGCACCACCATCTCCTGCATCGACCTGGGCACCGCTCGCACCCCCAACACCCCTCCTCCGCCTCCCCACACCTCCTCGTCATCCTCATCACTCTCGTCCCCCTCCCCTTCCCCACTGCTCCCACTGCTGCTGGTACTGTTGCCATTGTTGCTGCTGCCGAAACTGGAACCATTCTCTCTGGTGTTTTCACCGACCCTCCAGGGAAGGGGGCTCATTCCCATGTCATCATCCCCTTCCGCCAACCCCACCCCCATCCCCCAGCCCGCCTCGCCCCGCTCCCCCCACTCCAGCCCCTCCTCCTTGCCCTCGCCTGCACCAGGAGAGGCGGAGGGCCTTAAAGCCTGAGTCTCTGCCTGCTCTAACACCGCCTGCTGCTGAGCCTCCGACCAATCAGCTGCCACGCTGCGCCCTGTTGTGTGTGGGGTGGGAAACGGGGAGGGGGTAGTGGGGGAGAAGAGGGGGAGGTGTACGGAGGAGGGTGAGAGAGGCAGAGGCCTTAAAGCCTGAGTCTCTGCCTGCTCTAGCACCGCCTGCTGCGGAGCTCCCGACCAATCAGCCACCACGCTGCGCCCCATTTGGGGGAGTCTAGTGAAAAGAGGACGGGGTAGTGGAAGAGAGCAGGAGAGGGTGAAAGGAGGGGACATGAGTGACGCGGAGGGCCTTAAAGCCTGAGTCTCTGCCTGCTCTTACCCCGCCTGCTGCTGAGCTTCCGACCAATCAGCTGCCACGCTGCGCCCTGGGGGAAAGAATGGAGGGCGGAGGGGAGGGGGCGTGTTCCATGAGTGTGTTAAGGACAGGGGAACAACATTAGATGCAATCAGGGTGTAGGGGAGAACAGAAAGCAGCAGCAGTGTGTGCAAGATATACACGAATGAGCAAGCGGAACTCACACGAGAACTGAGCCGCGTAGAGCTCCCTCAGGGTCTCCTCCCGCAGCTCGATCGGCCAAAATCCCTGCCTCTGAGAACCGCAGGAGAAGGGGAGAATACAGGGCGAGTCAGAAGGGGAGAATACAGCGCGTGTCAGAAGGGGAGAATACAGCGTGTGTCAGAAGGGGAGAATACAGGGCGAGTCAGAAGGGGAGAATACAGGGCGTGTCAGAAGGGGAGAATACAGGGCGTGTCAGAAGGGGAGAATACAGTGCGAGTCAGAAGGGGAGAATGCAGCGCGTGTCAGAAGGGGAGAATGCAGCGCGTGTCAGAAGGGGAGAATACATGGCGTGTCAGGTCAGAGGGGACACTAGGGCGAGTATGAGGGGACACTGGGGCGAGTATGAGGGGACACTAGGGCGTGTGAGAGGACAAAGGGGAAAATACAGTGGGAGAGTATGCAGCATATCAGGACAACAATGGCTGCTTCCTTCCAACTACACTGGAATTGTTTCCAAGGCCTCCCTCCCTGTAAACATACATGGGCATGGGCCTCAACTCAGCTCACCACTCGAGGCCAACAACGTGAATAACATTCACGAATGTACTCCTGCAAGCTCACCGCATGCGGACCCTTCTTGAAAGCCGAATAGTTCCCTGCAGCCGCTGCTGGCGCTTCAAAGAGCGCCCACTTTAGCACCTCCTTGCTCAAGAGCTGGTGGGGGGGAGGAGGGGAGGTGGCAGGAGGGAGGGGAAGGGAACTGCTGAGGCTGTCGATCAAAAGGGCTGCTGGGGCTTCAGAGAGCACCCACTTGAGCAACTCCTTGCTCAAGAGCTGGTGGGGGGGAGGAGGGGAGGTGGCAGGAGCGAGGAGAAGGGAATTGCTGAGGCTGTCGACCAAAAGGGCTGCTAGGGGTTCGAAGGGCACCCACTTGAGCACCTCCTTGCTCAAGCGCTGGTGGGGGAGAGGCAAGGAAAGAAAACGAGAGATGGGAAACGAAGGCGACTTTTTAGTGGACTCATACGGCCACTGGGGCTTCAAAGAGCGCCCACTTGAGCGCCTCATTGCTCAAGAGCCGGTGCGAGAGAGGAGGAAAGAAGACGAGAGGAGGGGAAATGACGGGAACTTTTGAGTTGACTAATAAGGTCATTGGAGCTTTAGAGAGCGCCCACTTGAGCATCCCCTTGCTCACGAGTTGGTGGGAGAGAGGAGGAGGAGGAGGAGGAGGAGGAGGAGGAGGAGGAGGAGGAGGAGGAGGAGGAGGAGGAGGAGGAGGAGGAGGAGGAGGAGCAGAGAACATGTGCAGGAATAGAGAACTCAAAAGTCGACCCATGGCACCTAAGTGGTGTTCATAATCCTCCATAGTCCATACACACCACACATGATCCCTGGGATTACCTACCAGTGCAAAGAAACAGACCTTGGGATTGTTTGTCATCATAGCACCATGTCACCAACCTCGGGATTGCCGCCCAGCACAATGTCAGTGCCCCGGCCAGCCATGTTGGTGGAAATGGTGATGCCGCCAAACCTTCCTGCCTGAGCCACTATCTCCGCCTCGCGTGCTGCATTCTGGGGGGAGGAGGAGTGGGGGGAGATGTGACGGTTGGGGAAGAGGAAGGGGGAGGGGGGGGGGAGATGTGACGGTTGGGGGAAGATGAAGGGGGAGGGGAGGGGGAGATGTGACGTTCGGGAACGAGGAAAAAGGGGGGGTGGGGGGAAGGGGGGAGGGTGGGAGGGCGGGGAGAGAAAAAAAAGGAGAGGTTTTGGTGTGGGGCGGAGGCAGTCCTGTTGGTTGATGGGAATGGTGATGCCTCCAAAGCGACCAGTACAAGCCACTGCCTCCATCTCGCGTGCTGCATTCTAGGGTAGGGATAAAGGCCAAAGGCGGGAGGCAGAAACAAAGCTGGAATGCTGACCAATCGCCACAGAACCCGCCTTGGATTGGACTAGGCCCGGCCGGCAGCACTTCCACTGCTACGACCGTGCTAAATCTTGACAGTGCACACATCACAAAGGGCACACCATACATCACCCGAGCCACGCACCTCGGGCCATGCATTTAGCACCTGGATGTGTGCGAGCTGAGCAGTACAAAAGGATGGGGAAGGTTGCACATGGACAAGTCAAGCCACTAAGCACTTACCTCGGGCCGCGCATTGAGCACTTGGATGTGCGCGAACCGGCGGGGATGCTCAACTTGCAGCATGGCATAGAGGCGCTCCGACTCCTCCACACTGCAGTCGAAACGAGAGAGAGGAAAAAAAAAAAAAAAAAAAAACGAAAAAAAGGGAAAGCCAGTTTATAGGGTAAAAAAAAAAGACGGGCTGCGCGCGTGCATGCTCTTCGTGCAGCATGGCATAGAGACGCTCTGACTCCTCCACACTATTTGCGGGTGAGAGGGAAAGAATGGGCATCCGATGAAAACCTTACTCAGCATCCTTGGTTGTGTGCTGTGTTAAGTACTGTGTATCTTTGGGGTTACCGGGTTACCAACCCACCTGGTGGATACCAACCCACCTGGTGGATACCGAGAACACTTGGAGGATACCCAAACGACCTGCAGTTCACCGACCCACCTGGAGGTGCCCACAAGCACAGGGCGGCCGAGTTGGTTCATCTTGAGAATCTCCTGAATCACATAGTGCACCTTGTTGAGCGCTTGCTGGGGGGGGGGGGGAAGGGGGGAAGAGTGGAAGGAGTTGGGAGGGAAAAATCTATGCCATAAGCACAGGCACCTGGGATGGTTCACCTTCTTGAGGATCTTCTGAATCACACAGTGCACCTTGTTGAGCGCTTGCTGGGGGGGGGGGGAGAGGGGGGAAGAGTGGAAGGAGTTGGGAGGGTAAAATCTACAGAATAAGCACAGGCACCTGGGTGGGTTGGTTCACCTTGAGCATCTCCTGAATCACATAGTGCACTTTGTTGAGCGCTTGCTGGGGGGGGGGGAAGGAGAGGGAGGAGAGGAGAGAGGGGGGGAAAGGTACGGAGGGAAAAGGAGACTGACAGTGAAGGGCAAGGACGTGGAAGGCATTGTGAACGAGCACCGGACGGTCAACTTTCTTTCTTGGAGTCCATGCAGCTGCTTGCAGTTGGTTCTTGAGGATTCTCAAGGATGTGGGTTGCGTCCAGCCTTGCTTCTGAAGCTGCATGGTTTCAATTTTGGGTGTGACAGCATGCAGCAGGCAGGCGTTGCCCAATGCATGTCTCATCTCAAAAACCAACTCATCCTGCCTGCCTGCTGCATGCTGTCACACCCAACAGTGAAACCACGCAGCTTCAGAAGCTGGACGCAACCCACCAGGAAGACAACGCCATCAAGATCCTTTCGGATGGTGGGCTGCTTGATGCTTGGACAGCAGTTGGGTTGTGCTGGGCTGGTTGTTTGGTGGGCTGTGTGAACACAAGCAGTTGGGAGCACGAGACCAGCAGGACCCACCAGGAAGACGACGACATCTAGGTCCTTTCTTATGTTGGGCCGGTTGGTGGGGATGACAACCACTGGCATGCCGAATATGCGCTTGAACTCCTCCTCCTGCGGTGCGGGGGGGGGGAGTAGTGGAGGGGGGAGTGGAGGGGGGAAAGGAGGTGGGAGGGGCGGGAAGGCTAAGAGGAGAATGGACGACGACCACTGGCATGCCGAATATGCGCTTGAACTCCTCTTCCTGTGGTGCAGGGGGGGGAGTAGTGGAGGGGGGAGTGGAGGGGGGAGTGGTGGGGGAGTGGAGGGGGGAGTGGAGGGGGGAGTGGAGGGGGGAGTGGAGGGGGGAGTGGAGGGGGGAGTGGAGGGGGGAGTGGAGGGGGGAGTGGAGGGGGGAGTGGAGGGGGGAGTGGAGGGGGAGTGGAGGGGGGAGTGGAGGGGGGAGTGGAGGGGGGAGTGGAGGGGGGAGGGGCAGGAAGGCGAAGAAGAGAGGGGATGACCACCACTGGCATGCCAAATATGCGCTTAAACTCCTCTTCCTGTGATAGAGGAGGGGGGTAGAGTAGTGGATGAGGGATGGGAGGGAGGAGAGGAGGGGGAAGGGGCATGAAGGCGGGGGTTAGGAGGGCAAAAGACGCAGGAAACGGGAGAGAAGAGAGGATTCTCGCACATGTGCATTGCGCTGAAACTTGTGCATTGCATTGCACATGGGGAACGTGTGCTTCCGTGACTGTGCAAGGTTCAGTGCATTGCGCTGGGCGGACAAACACAAACCTTGCAAGCAGTGAGCGCAAGCAGTGCAGTGCACTGAACCTCTTTCTATAGCCCCACCACGGGCTCTGGACGCACCTCAGTCTAGGCATGGCAGTGCCTGTCATTCCTGCCGCCTTGCCATAGAGGCGGAAGAGAGACTCGCAGGTCACCTGGGCTGGCCTGCTTGGACACCCCCCACGTGTTTGGACACCAACAAGCCCCCCCCCCCCAAGACGCCAAGCCTGAAATCCCGGATTGCTCGCCTCGAACTTGGCTGGCAGTGCCTGTCATTCCGGCCACCTTGCGGTAGAGGCGGAAGAGAGACGCGTAGGTCACCTGGGCTGCATGCTTGCTTGCACACACCCCACGTGTTTGGACACCAACAAGCCCCCACCACCGCCCAAAACGCCAAGCCTGAAACCCTGGATTGCTCACCTCGGTCTTGGCGGTGCCTGTCATGCCGGAAACCTTGCCATAGAGGCGGAACAGGGACTGGTAGGTCACCTGGGCTACTGTCTCTGATACAGGCTGGCAAGGGGGGAAGAGGATACGGGGAAAGGGGGGGAAGGGTGGGCGGGGAAGGGTTAAGGGGGAGGGGAGGAGGGATTGGTGGGTAACCGAAGCTACTCTTTTGGATAGAGTAGGCAAAGGGAGGTCGGACGGGAGGCATAGGCAAAGCGAGGAGGATGCAGCATGTGGATGGAGAATCGGGATGGGAGGGAGAATCAACTTGTAAGCATGGGGGAAAATGGGAGGAGAACGGGTTAGGCAAATCGCCTAGGCAGCAACCCTACCAGCTGGAAAGACTCAGCTTGTAGCCCTTGCAGTACCCCTCACCTTAATCTCCACCCCCTCTTACGCCTCAACTGCTGTGCAGGGTGCTTCTGAGAGTTCTCCAAAACACACTGCACAACTTGTAAGCCCTGCGCTTGTAGTAGCAGTACCCCTCACCTTAAACTCCACCCCCTCTTACGCCTCAACTGCTGTGCAGGGTGCTTCTGAGGACTCTAAAAAACACAATGCACAACTGGTAAGCCCTTGTAGTACCCCCTCACCTTAATCTCCTTGTGAGAGATTTTTTTGAATTCTCAACAACACCCTGCACAACTTGTAAGCCCTTGTGGTACCCCTCGCCTTAATCTCCAAGTGAGAGATCAAGCTCACAACAACAACTTGTAAGCCCTTTGTAGTACCCCTCACCTTGATCTCCACCCCCTCTTTTGCCTCCACTGCTTGGTGAATGCCATCGCTCCACCCTCCTCATGTCGGCTGTTCGCCCCGTGAACTAGAGTATGTGTGCCGGGTTGGGGGAAGGAGGGGTGGGGAGGAGGGGAGGGGTGAGGGGAGATGTAAAGAGGAAGCATCATGATGCATAAGCTTGGTGAATGCCATCGCTCCACCTCCTCATGTCAGCTGTTCGCCCTGTGAACTGGATAATGTGTGTGGGATTGGGGGGGAGGAGGGGGTAAAGAGGAAGCATCTTGATGTGGGAAGCATCTTGGTGAATGCCATCGCTCCACTCCACCTCCTCATGTCGGTTGTTCGCCCCGTGAATTGGAGAATGTGTGTGGCGTTGGGGGGGAGGAGGGGTGGGAGGGAGGGGGGGTAAAGAGGAAGCCTTCGATGCGTGTGTAGCATGCTTCTTGGTGAACAGCGTCGCTCCGCATTGCTGCTCTTCGCCCTGTGAACTAGAAAAATTGACCGGGGTTGAGGGGGGGGAGAGGGGATGGAAAAGAGGGAGCAGTTTGATGTGCGTAGCATGCAGCTTCATCAGCTCCTTCCACGGGGAAAGCGAGAGAGGGCGGGCCGAATAGCACAAGAGCTGGGAAGGCAGCAATGGCTTCTGAGTTCACTCAAAAGTCACCGCAAGAGGAGGGGCGGCTGAATAGCACGGGAGTTGGAGTAACAGCAGCTGTTCTTGTGCACATAAGAACAATAGTGCCAGCCAGCCCGTATTTAACTCTTGACAACGTTTTTTTTTATTTTTTTTTCTTTCCTTTTTTCGTCCCACTTGTTCTGGGTTAGAGAGCATCCAATATATTCACGTACCTCGTCCACTATGATCACTTGGCCGTCCCTCACGATGTAGTCCCGATCCCTCAGGTAGAACTCCTTGGCTTTAAGGGCCGTCAGCACGAACCTACCAGGGGAACACAAGACGAGGGTGAGGGAGGGGGCAGATAGACAGGCGGATGAGACAAGTGGTAGCACTTGGCCATTTCTTGTGCTGAGTTAGGTTTTTGAGAATTCTCAATAACGTAACACTGCTTACATCTCCCTCGTTTTGTTATAGGTTTGAGAATTCTCAAAAACCTAACACAGGGGGGGCAGATAGACAGGCGGATGAGACAGGTGGTAGCACTTGGCCGTTTCTCATGGTGTATGTGTATATGTGTAGCCCCGATCCCTCAGGTAGCACTCCTTGGCCTTGAGGGCCGTCAGCACGAATCTAGTGCTGGAGGGTGAGGATGGGAGCAACGGGAGGATGGGAGCAACGGGAGGATGGGAAGGAAGGGAGGATGGGAAGGAAGGAGGATGGGAAGGGAGGATGGGAGATGAAGAAGCTACCGAAGCAGGCAACTCACTGTGCAAACGAGTTGCGAGTCTCAACGATATCATTTGTCCGAGCCATCACCTCCCTCCCCCCCTCCAGCCCCCTCCCCTGACCGTCCCCCAGCCCCTCCCTCGCCCCCTTCCCCTGGACATCCTCGCTCCTCAGGCCCTCAAGCAAGCAACTCACTGTGCAAACGAGTTGCGGGTCTCAAAGATATCATCTGGGTCCAAGGCATCCCCTCCCTCCCCCCCCAGCCCCTTCCCCCTTCTCCCCCCCCCCCGCCCCTCCCTCGCCCACTACCCCCCCCTCAAGCCCTCAAGCAAGCCACTCACTGTGCAAACGAGTTGCGGGTTTCGAAAATATCATCTGGGTCCGAGGCATCCCCTCCCTCCCCCTCCACAGACCCCTCCCCCGGCCCCTCCCCCGGGGCATCCTCGCTCCTCAGGCTCTCAGCCACTATCGCCACGCCCGAGTCTGTGAGCTGCACGGTGCGCATCTTCAGGTCAACCGTGTAGTCCTGGCAAGGGGAGCACAGGAGAAGGGGAGGAGGAAGTGGAAGCAGGTTTGCTTTGCCTACTGGCTGCACCCCCCATTCTGTGAGCTGCACGGTGCGCATCTTCAGGTCGACTGTGTAGTCCTGATAAGGGGAGGGGGGAGAGGGAGGAGGGGCGTTAACAGCCCAGGAATCTTAACCTGACTGCAACAACCCTGAACCCTGGAACCTGTAACCTTGTAACAAGGCAATCAAGTGCAACCACGTTACCTTGCAACCCTGTGGACCATTCATGCAAGCAGTTCAAGGCACAGCCCGTCTGAGCGAGCACTCACGATGTCTCTCCGAAGAATCTCCACCACTTTAAGTTTTTGAGAAATTCCAAAAACCTAACACTTACATTAAAAGCAGGACAATATTGCAGGGTGTTTTTGAGAATTCTCAAGAAACCCCGAAGAATCTCCGCCACTTCAGGTTTTTGAGCATTCCCAAAAACCGAACACATTCATCCAAGCAGTACACGCCACGGCCCTTCTGAACTGAACAGGCACTCACTATGTCCCTCCGAAGAATTTCCGCCACTCTAGCAGCCACTGGGAAGCGCATGACATGCGAGGATGACTGCACGGAGGGGAGCACGTGAGGCAGGGGTGGGGAGAGCAAGGGCGGGGAGGAACAAGGGTTGGGGGAACAAGGGGTGGGGAGAGCAAGGGCGGGGAGGGGAGTAAAGATGGGGATGGGCAGGGGAGTGGAGGAACATCTCCGCCACTCTAGCAGCCACTGGAAGCACATGACATGCAAGGACAACTGCACGGGAGGGGAGCACGTGAGGCAGGGGTGGGGAGAGCAAGGGCGGGGAGGAAGCACTCACCATGTTGCTGATGAGCAGCACTCACCATGTTGCTGATGAGCAGCGGATTCCTGCCTTCATCGATGAGCACCGAGTCGATCTCATCCACGATGGAGTAGTGCAGCGCGTCGGGCCACCGCAGCGTGCGTTCATTGGGGTCCTGCACCAGGTGGTCTCGAAGATAGTCAAACCCAATCTCCTGGTGGTGCAAACAACGGGGGGGAAGGAGGGAGGGGGAAAGTGAGAGGAGGGGAGGGTGAGGTTGGTCTCATCGGGCCACCACAGCGTGCGTTCATTGGGGTCCTGCACCAGGTGGTCTCAAAGATAGTCGAACCCAATCGCCTGGTGGTGCAGGCAGGCGGGAAGGGTGGGAGAAGGGGGAGCCGGGTCTCATCCACAATCGAATCATGACAAGCATCTGACCACCGCAGCAAACGCTCCCTTGGGTCCTGCACCAGATGGTCTCGAAAATAGTCAAACCCAATCTCCTGGTGTTGCAGGCCGGCGGGAAAGGGGGGGGGGACATTTGAAACAACTCAAAACGAGGGGAGAGGGGGGGGGGGGGGGGGGAAGGAGAGGGGTGGGGGGAGGGCCTGATGAGCTTGCGCCTTCAATCAAAAGTACCTCATCGTTGGAGGCCTGCACAGGATGATTCAGCCATGTGATGTGACTAGGCGAGCTGCCTGCCTGCAGCAAGGAGAAATTGTAACCAGGCGGCCTTTTCAACAACTGAATACAATTACACAGTGTGGACGCTACTGGAGCACGTCACTGGCTGGCACACGTCACTGGCTGCCAAACGTCACTGGCTGGCACACGTCACTGGCTGGCACACGTCACTGCAGTTGTTACCATCACACATGACGACCAGGGTTTAGGGTTACCATCACGCATTACGACCATCGGTTCTACCCTCCCTTCATATCTCACATTGTTGCTGCCATAAGTCATGTCGCATGCATACGCCAGCTGTCTCTCCTCCCGGTTCTGACCTGGCTGAAAGGGAGTACAACGAGGCACGGGCAGGTGAAGATAAGGCGATGCAGGTGAGGAGAAGAGGTGGATGGAGAGCAGGGCAAGAGGTGGATGGAGAGCAGGGCAAGAGGTGGATGGACATTGGTACGAAAGAAAAGTCGAGGAGGGGGGTGATGGGAAGAACAACCAGGAAGGGCCAAGCATATCCCGAAACACTTTTGCTTAAACCACATCCTTAGATCGAGTCACCCTCACCTCACCTGGAGTCATTTTGAAGAATTCTAAAAAATTACTCAACGAGTTAGGGCCAACAAAGCATATTCAGAGGACGAATTTACTTGGATCGCCTCCTTAAATCGAGTCACCCTCTCCTCACCTGGAGTCATTTTGTAGAATTCTAAAAATTTACTCAACGAGTTAGGGCCAACAAAGCATATTCAGAGACGAATTTACTTGGATCGCCTCCTTAAATCGAGTCACCCTCTCCTCACCTGAATGACCCCCACTGACAGCCCCAGAAATCGGTGCACCCGCACCCTGCATCAGAGTCAGGCTATTTTGTACCAGTCTTTTTAGAAGTCTCAAAAACCTATCAGGCTATCACTCACCAGACTGATCCTCACTCACCTGAATGACTCTCACCTGACTAATCCCCTCCTCCCCTGAATGACCCCCACTAACAGCCCCAGGAATCCGTGCACCCTGCATCAGAGTCAGGCTATTTTGTACCAGTTTTTTTAAGAGCCTATCACTCACCACACTGATCCTCACTCACCTGAATGACCCCCACTGACAGCCCCAGGAAGCTGTGCACCCTACCCATCCACTCCGCATCTCTCCGAGCCAAATAGTCGTTCACCGTCACCACTGGGATGGGGGAGGGGGGGGATATGGAAGAGGGAAAGAGAGGCGATGGGGGAAACAGCACTGAGTCACCCCCAAGCCACTCTGCATATCTCCGAGCCAAGTAATCATTCCCCGTCACCACTGGGAGAGGGAGAAGGCATAGGATGGCGAGGTGGGGTGGGGGGACGGGAGTGAAATTGAGGAAACAGCTCTGCATCCCCCCGAAATCACTCTGCATCCCTGCGAGCCAAATAGCCGTTCACCATCACCACTGGGATGGGATGCATGGAGGGGGGTACGGAACAGGGAAATGGAGGCAATGGGAAGGCTCTGAGACAATGGACGAGACCAATGGACCCATATTTATCAGGAGACAATGGAGACAATGGAGACAATGGAGACAATGGAGACAATGGAGACAATGGAGACAATGGAGACAATGGAGACAATGGAGACAATGGAGACAATGGAGACAATGGAGACAATGGAGACAATGGAGACAATGGAGACAATGGAGACAATGGAGACAATGGAGACAATGGAGACAATGGAGACAATGGAGACAATGGAGACAATGGAGACAATGGAGACAATGGAGACAATGGAGACAATGGAGACAATGGAGACAATGGAGACAATGGAGACAATGAGACAATGGAGACAATGGAGACAATGGAGACAATGGAGACAATGGAGACAATGGAGACAATGGAGACAATGGAGACAATGGAGACAATGGAGACAATGGAGACAATGGAGACAATGGAGACAATGGAGACAATGGAGACAATGGAGACAATGGAGACAATGGAGACAATGGAGACAATGGAGACAATGGAGACAATGGAGACAATGGAGACAATGGAGACAATGGAGACAATGGAGACAATGAGACAATGGAGACAATGGAGACAATGGAGACAATGGAGACAATGGAGACAATGGAGACAATGGAGACAATGGAGACAATGGAGACAATGGAGACAATGGGACAATGGAGACAATGGAGACAATGGAGACAATGGAGACAATGGAGACAATGGAGACAATGGAGACAATGGAGACAATGGAGACAATGGAGACAATGGAGACAATGGAGACAATGGAGACAATGGAGACAATGGAGACAATGGAGACAATGGAGACAATGGAGACAATGGAGACAATGGAGACAATGGAGACAATGGAGACAATGGAGACAATGGAGACAATGGAGACAATGGAGACAATGGAGACAATGGAGACAATGGAGACAATGGAGACAATGGAGACAATGGAGACAATGGAGACAATGGAGACAATGGAGACAATGGAGACAATGGAGACAATGGAGACAATGGAGACAATGGAGACAATGGAGACAATGGAGACAATGGAGACAATGGAGACAATGGAGACAATGGAGACAATGGAGACAATGGAGACAATGGAGACAATGGAGACAATGGAGACAATGGAGACAATGGAGACAATGGAGACAATGGAGACAATGGAGACAATGGAGACAATGGAGACAATGGAGACAATGGAGACAATGGAGACAATGGAGACAATGGAGACAATGGAGACAATGGAGACAATGGAGACAATGGAGACAATGGAGACAATGGAGACAATGGAGACAATGGAGACAATGGAGACAATGGAGACAATGGAGACAATGGAGACAATGGAGACAATGGAGACAATGGAGACAATGGAGACAATGGAGACAATGGAGACAATGGAGACAATGGAGACAATGGAGACAATGGAGACAATGGAGACAATGGAGACAATGGAGACAATGGAGACAATGGAGACAATGGAGACAATGGAGACAATGGAGACAATGGAGACAATGGAGACAATGGAGACAATGGAGACAATGGAGACAATGGAGACAATGGAGACAATGGAGACAATGGAGACAATGGAGACAATGGAGACAATGGAGACAATGGAGACAATGGAGACAATGGAGACAATGGAGACAATGGAGACAATGGAGACAATGGAGACAATGGAGACAATGGAGACAATGGAGACAATGGAGACAATGGAGACAATGGAGACAATGGAGACAATGGAGACAATGGAGACAATGGAGACAATGGAGACAATGGAGACAATGGAGACAATGGAGACAATGGAGACAATGGAGACAATGGAGACAATGGAGACAATGGAGACAATGGAGACAATGGAGACAATGGAGACAATGGAGACAATGGAGACAATGGAGACAATGGAGACAATGGAGACAATGGAGACAATGGAGACAATGGAGACAATGGAGACAATGGAGACAATGGAGACAATGGAGACAATGGAGACAATGAGAAAGCTCTGGAGTGACACCCCCAAGCCCACTCTGCATCCCCTGCGAGCCAAATAGCCGTTCACCATCACCACTGGGATGGGGGGGTATGGAACAGGGAAATGGAGGCAATAGGCTTGGCTATGAGTCACCTCGAGCCACTCTGCATCCCTGCAAGCCAAAGAGTCAGAGTCAGGCCAAATATCACTCCACCTCCCTATATGAGCTGGTGGCTGGCAGCATCGAGGAGTTTTGAGTCTAGTTTCGAGTCGACTCAAAATGGGCTCATAACCGGCGGATCCACCAGAGTTAGGCCAAAAAGCACTCTGCATCCCTGATGAGGGGGTGGCAGCAGCAAGCACAGTGTCAGAAGAGCATACAGCCCCTCCCTCACCATGCTCGCCCTTCCTTGACAGCTCTCTCTCCCCTTCCCCACACCCTCACGCCATAAGCACCCTCACGCCATAAGCACCCTCACACCATAAGCACCCTCACACCATAAGCACCCTCACACCAGGAGCACCCCTCACACCAAACGCACCCTTGCACCAAATACGCCCTCACCACATACGACCCTCACCATGCACGCCTTTCCCCACAAAGGCGTTGAAGTGTGCGACCAGCGTGGACACCAGGGTCACTCCTCAATCGATACAACCTCACCACGTACACCCTTCCCCTGATAAGCCCTCACCATGCACGCCCTTCCCCACAAGGGCATTGAGATATGCTGCCAGCGTGGACACCAGAGTCTTGCCCTCGCCTGTCTTCATCTCTGCAATGGCTCCAGCATGCAGCACCGCCCCTCCCACGATCTGCAAGAGGGGGAGATGGGGGGAAGTGGGGGAGGGGAAGGGGAGGAAATACTGATGAGTCTATTTTTTAGGTGCCTCAAAAAAGAGAAGAGGTGCGCTGGACTAGGGATTGGGGAAAAGCTGAAGACAGGGCGAGTCTATTTTTGAGGCGCCTCAAAAATAGACTCCTCACGAAGGGCGGAAAGACTGATGGGCGTGGCACACCACAGCCTTGCCCTCCCTCGCCTGTCTTCATCAGAGCAATGGCTCCAGCATGCAGCACCGCCTCTCCCTCCCACAATCTGAGAGAAGGAGGTCAGGGAGAGAGATGGAACCGAGAAAGGATTCTTTGAGAATGGGGACACCAGAGGACTTTTGAGGCGCCTCAAAAGTTGTCTTCATCAGAGCAATGGCTCCAGCATGCAGCACCGCCTCTCCCTCCCACGATCTGAGAGAAGGAGGTCAGGGAGAGAGATGGAACCGAGAAAGGATTCTTTGAGAATGGGGACACCAGAGCCTCGCCCTCCTCCCCAGTCTTACATCTCTAATATCCCCCCCCCCCCCCCTCCCCCCCCCCCCCCGTGCAGCATCGCCCCTCCCACGATCTACGTGAAGCGTGTGGGAGGGAAGAGGGAGAGATGGGAAAGACAATACTCTGATAATGCGCGCACCGTGGCCTTGCCCTCGCTCCCCTGCCTTCCTCTCTGATATCGCCTCAAAAGACCCACGACACGCCCCTACCTGCATGTCAAAGTGTCGCATGCAGAGAGTCCGCCTGGCCAAGGTCACTGACAATGGATTCGTCAAATCAAAAGAAACACACTCACACTCACTCACACTCACACAAACTCACACACACTCCACGCACCACTCACACACACTCACGCACACTCACACACACTCACACACACGCACACAAACGCACACACACAACCGCACACCGCCCCTACCTGCACGTCAAAATGTCGCATGCAGGAGTCCGCATGGCGGCCTCTCGCACCACCGCAAAGGCCTCTGAGGATGAAGGGTGGAGGGCGGGTTGGTGTACGTCCAAAGAGGGCGGAGAGGGAAGGGGATAAGGTAGGAGAGAGAGAGAGGGACAGACGGGATCGCATGCGGAGACTTGGCATGGCTGCTTCTCGCACTACCGGCAAAGGGCTCTGCTGGGTGAAGGGCAGGGGCGTTGCTTTGTCCACAAGGGGCGGAGAGGGAAGGGGATAAGGTAGGAGAGAGAGAGGACAGACCGTGAGGCGTGCAAAGACTCCGCCTGGCCTGGCTACCCTTAGCGCGCCACAGCAGCAAAGGCCTCTGCAGGGTTGAGTTGAGAGAACAAGCCGAGTCATGAAAAAAGGGAGGGAGGGAGGTGAGGTAGGGAGGGAGGTAGGGATGAAGGGTGAAACAGAGGCAGGGTACGATTTGAAATGATTCTAGAGATTGAAAATGGAGAGAGCGCGGGGAGGAGGGCAGAGAAGGAAGCGTTGGGAGGAGAGAGGAGGAGCAGGTAGACGGGAGTGAGGGGAGAAACGATTGATGGATCGGGAGAAGCCGTCGACTCAAAAGCAAATAATGGATCGATTGGGAGAAGCCGCATGCATGTCCTCCTCCTCAAAGCTAAACGCGCATGCATAGTGAATCCTGGCCGAGCAACAGGCACCGCAACAAACAAGAACAAAACAAACCACCACCACAGATAACACACATTACGTATACCAGTCAACGGTTGACTGTCAACCCACACCAGATACAACCTACACCTACCTGCCTGTATTCCGTCCTGTGATTCTCCCTGCTTCAGACGCTTTTTCAACCCGTCAAACCTAGAGGGCAGACGACTTAACACCAAGTATGATACACACACTAGAAACATCCCTCACCAGATGGAACCCACCTAGCCTACCTGCCTGTATGTCATCCAGCGTTTTCTCCCTGCTTCAGGCGCTTCTTGAACTCGCGTGTTTTTCGCCGGAGCTGCCAAGAGGGTAAACGCGTGGAAAACGCACTCCAATAGACTCATTAACCTATATCAGCAGCACCTAGAAGGCGGCTGTGTTCTTTCGTCTTTCGAGATGAGTGGAGACGTCATACGAGCATTGAAGAAGGCAGAGCTTGCTTCAGACCAGATGCCTTTTGAGAGAGTGCAACTACTAACCTGTTTGTCAGTGAGTGCTTGCATCGCCCGGCTCCAGAGCATTCACTTGCGCCACGAGGTGCGGATGAGGGGCTACCCACAGACCTGGCATCCCTACCTACCTATGAGCCTGAAAGCCCTAGTACACGTGTCTAAAAGCACCTGCTTGTCCGTGAGTGCTTGCATCGCCGGCTCCAAAGCATTCACTTGCGCCACGAGGTGCCGAAAGTGGTGCACCACCCACGGTGTTGAGGGAGAAGATACCGAGTTTTTCGCTCTTTATCATGTCCAACGTGCTCTGGGGGTGGGGGAGGAAGAGAGGGAATGGGAAGGTGAGAAGGAAGGAGAAGAAGGAAGAAGAGAAGGTTCAGTGTTGCACCACCCACGCGTTGAGAGAGAAGATTTCGAATTTCTCGCTCTTTATCATGCCCAACCGTGCTCTGGGGGGGGTGTGTGTGGGGGGGGGGGGGGATGGGAAAAAGAGAAGGAAGAGAAAAAGGTTCAGTGGTGCACCACCCGGGAAAAGTTACCGAATTTCTCACATCCCCCCCCCTTCCCCCCCACCCCCCCCCCACCCCCACTATCCCTCTCCCCGCATCCCCCATCACCTTACCCTGTGGAGTGCTGTCTGCCCAGGCGTTACTCTTCCCCCGACCAGCTACGTCCCCAGCATCGGTAACCGGGTTACCAGCTGTAACAGCAGCACGGGTTACCGGCCCTAGCCGCTTCTTCCCACTCGCCGCTCTCCTTGCCCTCCATTTCCCCCCTTGAAGCAGGTCCGTTAATGGGTCCTGTCGCTGGCGGCAATAAACTATAGCGAGGATTACGTCTAGGGCCGCATAACGAGTCACGGCCAAATCGATCAAGTGAGGAAACGATATACGTGGAGGGTACTGATTCGGGGAAGCAATGACGAAAACTGGTCCTTGTTTATTCAAGGGAACGTTTAATAGCGACATGGCGCCTCTAGAGCAGCTTAATAGTCCGGCTACTAAGAACGCCTAAAAGTGTCCGTCTCACGACACGTTCACTCCGGATAAACCCGAGGCCTCTACTGGTAGATGTTACTATCCAGTTTACCAGATTCCTGGCCTCGATCCAGGCAAAACCTGGCTGGTCTGTGGAAAAGCCTGACGTACGCCTGGGTGAACTGCCAGCGCGCGTAAGTCAGCTGCACTTCTATGGACGCATTCACCTCGACTCGTGGCCTCCAACGCAGAACCTGCCTCACGAGTGCAAAAACTTCGAATTAGTCACGTCAGTAAAACTATGCCGATTGCTGCTCCCCCGTCATGTGCCTCTCCGTCAGGACTTTGATCAGGCGCTACTCCGTCAACTGCTGCTCCGACAACATTTCCGTTGCTTCGCTGCGTGGTCGCTGATTGATCGTCATCGGATCAGGGAACAGGAGGAAGCAGGAATCAGGCCGTGTTTCTGTGAGGTTACCGGAGTCGCGCGGGAGCTCCCCAGGTGTGGTGTGGTCGGTTCACTTCGTGCACCTATCAATGCGTGTACATCCTCGCGAAAACTGTTACCAACTTCTGGCCCTTTGCGATCCGCAAATCATGAATCTACCACGCAAACCAAGAGCTCGAGGCTGTGCGAATCTGAACGGCTGTTGCGTAACTATAGAGCCAATTACAACTTACTGTAGAGTTCAGATGTTGCAAAGCATGCCCTTAAAATATTTTATCCTCATGAAGATCTGTACTTGGACTTCTTGCTCTTCCTCTACCCTCCACAGCAGTGCGTTTGTATATATGCACTACCATTAACAAGAAATAACACCATCACCAAAGACTAACATACACCTGTCAGTCCTCCAACCCCACCCCACAACCACCATCATTCTACGCAGTAGCAGCAGCAGGCTCGGGAGTGTACAATCCAAGCGAAATCAGCGTAGCGCGCTTGGCCCGGGAAAGGGCGAGCCTTGCGGCGAGCGCCCTTGTTCTGGTGGATGACATTGACCTTCACGGACCGGTCGATGATGGAGAAGGCCTCCGAGATGAGCTTCTCAGCTGCCACCACCTGCTCCTCGGAGGGGGACCCACTCTTGCGCAGCTCCTCCAGAGCAAGGAACGCCTGGCAGGGAGAGGAAGGAAAGGGTGCATAGGGAGGGGTACAAATGATTGGGGTCGATGATGGGGAAGGCCTCCGAGATGAGCATCTCCGCCGCCACCACCTGCTCCTCAGACTGGGACCCACTCTTGCGCAACTCCTCCAGAGCAAGGAGCTCCTGGGGGGAAACAGAAAGGACGGGGTGTATAGGGAGGGGCACAAATGATTGAGGTCGATGATGGAGAAGGCCTCCGAGATGAGCCTCTCGGCTGCCCACCACCAGCTCCTCCGAGGGAGAGGCGCTCTTGCGCAGCTCCTCCAGAGCAAGGGACGCCTGATGGCAGGAAAGTGGAAGGGAAAACCGCATGCGACAGAAATTATGAGACTAGTGTGGGCGGGAAAGGCTTCTTAGCTACTCCTCTGATAAGGGACGCACTCGCGCGAGCAACTCCCCTCTAGAGCAATGAACGCCTGGGAGGACACGCCCAATGCTCCTTACAAATCTGCTTCCTTCCAATGCTGCCAGGGAAGGCGCACGCACGCCTAGGACAGGAGTGAGCTTCATGCACGATGTTTTTTAGAATTCTCAAGAACAGGAATCGCTCTGTGCGATTTCGCCAGAAGTGATGTCATAAGCACATCAACGAACCAGGCGGCACACGGTGCTGACTTCTGAGTGGACCCAAAACGCGATTTTAGAGAATTATTAAAAAAAAAACGCACAATGCTGACTTCTGAGTCGACTCAAAAGTGACGTCGACGATTCCAGGCGCACCGTGCTTATGCCAACCAACACACGAGAAGGCTGAAGAGAGCATTTGAGTATGAACGGCACAAACGGCTGGTTCAGTAACCAGGCCTTCCAGGAGCTGACGGCTGGTTCTCTCTTGAGTCGATGTTTAAGGCGCCTAAAGAAAAAAGATTCAGTAACGGGGTATTCTAGCAGCCCCCCCTGTCCCTCTTGCACGCCAAACCATTGACTCCGCCAGCCCCTGCTCCTTACTTCGCTGCCTTACTCCCTGTCCGTGCTACGGCTGTCTATGCTCCTTATTGCGCCTTTCTCGAGCTGTCACTGCCCCGGACTGCTCCTGATGCGAACTGTCCCTGATAGGATCTGCCCCTGATGCGAACTGTCCCTGATAGGAACGGCTCCTGTTGCGAACTGTCTCTGATGCGAACCGTCATACGTACTGTCGCTGATCCGTACCGCCACAGCTCCGTACCTCGCTTGCTCCACTCTCCCCTGCTCCCCTTCTCAGCTCTCCCCCTCCCCCCTCCCCCCTTCCCCCTCCCCCCTCCTCCCCCCCTTCAACCCCAACTTTTTCAAGCTTCTCAGAACGCGCATTCCACGGCCATCCCCAACCCACCTTCTTCATCCGCGTGCTCATCTCCGTCTTGCGCGACTTGTTGTACATCCGCCAAGTCTATTCTATCATGGTTACACTCGGTTCCATGATCCATCCCCCTCCCACCCCTTCCCCTTCCGCTCACCTTCTTCATCCGCGTGCTCATCTCCGTCCTGCGCGACTTGTCGTACACCCGCCGCACCTGTTCAGGCTCCTCAAAGAGCACATCCGAAGTTACCTGAATCGCCCTCCAAAATCACCCCCCTTTCAACCTCGGCTTCCCCCTCCTCTCCCCTCCTCTCCCCTCCTCTCCCCTCCTCTCCCCTCCTCTCCCCTCCTTCCCCCTCCGCTCACCTTCTTCATCCGCGTGCTCATCTCCGTCCTGCGCGACTTGTTGTACACCCGCCGCACCTCCGCCTGCTTGGCGCGCTTGATGGCCGAGTCCACCTTCTTCGGCTTCACGGTCTTGCCAGCAGCCGCAGCAACGGCGGGAGGGCTGGCAGCGGCGGCAACCACGGCTAGAGATCTGCTAGCGGCAGCGGTAACAGCTGGCCGGCTGGCAGCTGGAATGAGGGATGAGAAAAGAGGTCAGGGGGCGGGGAGAAAGAAGAGGAACGAGCACGGATCGAGTCTCCGCCTGCTTGGCGCGCTTAATAGCCGAGTCCACCCTGTTATTCGAGTTCGCGGTCTTGCCGGCGGCCACAAACACCGCTGGCGTGCTGGGAGGCACGGGAGAAGGAAACATAGTGCATTCCTCTGTAACGCTCAACCATTGCTCTCAACAATGAGCACCATTTGCTCCAAAACCGACCAACAGTCAGATTCCCCTGGCAGCAGCAATCCCAGCGGGAAACCGGCAGCTCACAGCAGCGGCGGCGACAATAGTTGGCCTGCTAGCAGCTGAACAGTGGAGAATGAGCAGCAGCTGCGGTGATCAGTGGTTTTGGTGAGCAATGGTTGCGGTGTGCAGTGGTCTCGGTGATAAATGTGTGTGCATGAGGTGGAGTACGGGGATCAGGAAACGGAGGGACGCAGCAGATTGACAACGTGAATGGCTGCGGAATGTGCTGGTGTCAAGAATTTCGATGCTTAAAAGTGATGGCTAAGCGACGTATTATGACTGAACAGTGCACGTTGGAAAGTACGAATGTGCTAATGACGCGTGGTGCACAAAGGGAGACAGCCTCGCGCGAGAAGGGAAGCTCAGGAATGAAAACGCAGGAACTGACAGATCTCAAAGACAGGCCCTTCAGACGGCTCAAAAACGAGGCGACTTTCGAGTCGACTCAGAAGTCATCTCACGGAATGAGAACACAGGAACTGACAAATCTCAAATACGGTTCTTTTAGGAGCCTCAAAAGAAGGCGGTGAGCTGGATGGTGACTAAGGAAGGAATCGATGGACGTACCAACGAGCTGGCAGCCCCGGAAGCTCGAAACCCTAAGCGAGTCCCCGAGCGATACTCTGCTAGAGGTCCTCAGTTGGGAGGAGAGAGAGAGGGACCCCAGAGCCTGGGTGGCTGCTCGAATGCTCACTGAAGCCATTGCTACTACGGTACGGTGGTAGCTACTGGACCTGCTGACAAGACGAGTGCTGTCAAATTAGGTCCTTAGTGGTTCCCCTAACTCTGTCAGGAGAGAGCAGTGCAGCTACTACCGAAAGAGGCTGCTCGGGGAAGGGGGGTAGAGAGGAGTCTTCGCTCCTGAAATCCCAAGGGAGACCAACCAGGGCTGGAAATAATATTTAGAGTGTACACGCAGTTAGCTTAGTGCAGGGTGAAGCTGATTCACAACAAATTTGAGGGGGATCGATCGTACGGTGGAGAACTGATCTAGATTCAGAGATGAGGCTCTCGGATGGAAGTATTGGATGCTTGGGCGAAGGGTTACCACTTTCGGTGGTCCAATCGCATTCGCTGCTCAACGTGGCAGGAAGCAGATAAAACTCGAGATTGCATTGGGGGCGCGGAAAGCATCAGGCGGAGGCACTGACGTGCCGTGGCAAATTCGGATGAGGTGGCGGTCGGATTTGTTGGAAACCGGATGGACCACGTGGCGTAAAATGTCGCTTCCACGAGGGAGCAATGTGGCATGGAGTGGTGGAGGAGGGAGCAACTTTTTGGACATCGTTGCTTTGCATGAAGCCGGAAAATATCACACTGATTAATGTTTTGGGGCCTAAAACACTCCGAGACTGAAGCTGAAATACAATGACACTTTAATTCTGGTGATGATGCTAAGATAATGATTTCTTTCTATTGAACTTTGAGTGTGGTTATTAGTGATCACAGATTGATGATATGAAACCTTCAGAGAACAAAGCTGCCACACATTGCTTGAGCTCCCCCATCTATATGTCTATGGCACAAAACCACAAGCACAAGATCTCCACCGGCACCCATTTTTTCCAATTTAACGCTTGGAGAACTGGGGAGCCTTCCGGGCCTTCTTGAGGCCATACTTTTTGCGCTCTACCGAGCGGGCATCACGCGTCAGCATGCCCTGGGCCTTGAGCGGCGGGCGGTTGGCAGCGCTGGCAGCAACGAGAGCACGGGCGATGCCCATCACCATGGCCTGCGCCTGCGCGTTGAGCCCCCCTCCATGCGCCTTCACCACCACATCGTACTTGGCCTCGTAGCCCAGGGAAGAGAGCGGCAGCTTCACCGCCTGATGGGGGTTGAAATTTGAGAGAAGAGGAAGAGGGGAAAGGGGGTGGGGGGAGATGAGGGGAACGAACAAATGACAAGGGACCTCTCCATGCACATTCCCCACCGCATCATACTTGGTCTCACAGCCCAGCGAGGACAGGGGCAGCTTCACCCCTGATGGGGTTGTGATTATAAGAGGGGAGGGTGGGGGGCAGGGGTGGTCGGAAAGAAGCAGATGACAAGGGACCCCTCCTTGCGCCTTCACCACCACGCCATACTTGGCCTCACAGCCCAGCGAGGACAGGGGCAGCTTCACCGCCTGATGGGGTTCGTGAGGGTGGGTGGTGGGGAAGGAACAGAGGGAAAGGGGGTGCCGAGAAAAGAACGGGGGGAGCGAGTTGAGCAGCGTCAACCCCAGGAAAATAAGGCAACAGGAGGGAACACAGGGAAGACGGTGGCAACTTCCAGGCTCCTCCTCTCACACTTCCCACCCTCCCCCTTGGCGTGCACCCTCCCCCTTGCACCATTGACGTGTTTCTACCCACTCCTGTTGCCCCTAGACCATCACTCCCCCCTTCAAACCCTTCCCACGCTTTCCCCAACAAGTCTCGACCAAGTCCCCACCCAGTGTCCACCCAGAGTCCACCCAGAGTCCACCCAGAGTCCACCCAGAGTCCACCCAATGCCCCCACCACAGCCACCAGTATCTCGACTCATGCATCCAGCGGACCTGGATCAAACGAGGCGGCTTCTGGAATGCCCTGGGGCGCCCAGGAAGTCTCTTGAAACGCTTCAGAAGCGATATAGCGCGTCTCAATCGCACCACCTGGTTCTTGAGGGCCTGCTTCAGGAGTGCTTTGCGTGGACCCGCTCAAACGAGGTTTGTTTTCAGACGTTTCCACTTCCCTTCCTCCCCAGCCGTCCCCCCCCCCCCCCCCCCAACCCCTTCTTCCCCCCCCATGCCCCCCAATCTCCCCCCACTCTCCCTCCTCTCCTCCCCCCCTTCCACCCCCATCATTACCTGGATCATGAGCGCCTGGTTCTGGAAATATTCGTTCAGGGCAGCCCGTTGACGAAGATCTCCCCGTTGCCCTCGATGAGCCCCACGCGCGCCACGGCCGTCTTTCTCCTGCCCGTGCCGTGGATGCGGAACGCCGCGAACGGCGGGTACCGCCGCCCACCCGCGTCCACGTCATCGTCGAGCGCTAGCGAAGCCGCGACGGCGGGAGCTGCGGCGGAAACCGCAGCGGCGGCTGCGGCGGGGGGAGCGGCTGACGCGGCGACGGAAGCGCGGCGGATGGCGGGGGCCGCGGCGACGAGAGGGGAGGAGAGGGTGAGAGCGCGGCCGTCAAAGTCGGACTTGAGGCATGCTGATGGCCTGGGAGAGAAAGGGAGGAAGGGGGGACGGGGAAGGGGGAGCAGGGAAGGGGCATAGAACGCAATGAGATAGTGCGGTGGCGGAGAGAAGGGGCGACGGTGAGCGGGGAGGAGATTGTGAGAGAGCGGCCGTCAAAGTCGGACTTGAGGCATGCTGATGGCCTGGGATGGGAGTGAGGATGGAGGGGGATGGGATAAAATGAGGGAAGCATGGAGCGACGGCGGGTAGAGGGGGCCGCGGCGAGGAGGGGGGAGGAGAGTGTGAGGGCCTGGCCGTCAAAATCGGACTTGAGGCATGAAGATGAGAACAGGAAGGGGGCATAGAGCGCGGTGAGATTGAGCGGCGGCGGGTAAAGGGGGCTGCGGTAAGCGGGGGGACAGTGTGAGAGTCCGGCCTGGAAAAGGTATAGGGGCGAGGGAGGTGGACACATGGGAAGGAATTGGGAAAACGTGGAAACGAAGAGGACTGGGGCGAGCAAGTAGGCTGGACAATAAGACGTTGGAAAGCGATTGGACGAACTATCAGCGACATGTTGCGAATGACAGGGTGATAGACTGGGACTGGTCGACACAGCAACCATAAAAAGGCTTCGTAATTCAGAATACATCAGCAGGCGCGCATGAACAGGTAAAATAATGGAGTAGAGTTTCGTCGAAGCCATCCGGATGCAGGTTACCAGGTAACCCGGCTGACCGACAAAAAGCCTAAACCACGCACTTGGCCCGTGCGCGAACCCTAATCTCCCGGGTTCATATGGAGCTTGAGCTCTTGGCTCGTCCACGCACTCAGCCCTACGAGTTCGTCAGGGACATGAGGCGCGTAGCTGAACCAACCACTAGCGTCGCCAGCAGGTAGGACCGACGCCATCGCGAAATCACTCAGCGTTATGGCACTTCGTAAGTGTGCCACTTAAAATCCAGGGTAATGCTAGCGACCAGTAGAAACCGATCATCCGACCAAACTGGTTCTCCACGCAGCGAACCCGAGAGATTGACATACATACTAGGGCTGAAGATCCAGGGCAAGCTAACCTGATGCTCAATGAAGCAATCTGATTCGTCAGCAACGCGGCGGTAGCGGCCATTGTCGGCACGCTAATGCAGGACTTTCAACTGCTGAACGAGAGGGCAAGGAGAGAGACCTTGCTGCTAGAACAGGTCCCTGCTGGAGGTGCTGCTGGTGAATGTGCAAGCGGGGGAGAAAACCTGGATGAGGGAGAGAGGAGAAGGAAAGGGGTGTCAAAAGAACATGCAAGGTTTCGTGAATCGCGGCACCGATTTGTATTTGCTCTCAAATAGTTGCGAACACAAGAGAACCGCACTGTGCCGTTTTGTGACGTTCCCCAACGTCACCAAATGCCAGACTCCTAAGAGATGGAACAAGGAGGAGGGGAGGGGGAGGCGGAGAACGTACTGGGGGAAGGTTGCGCAGAAAGGATTCCGACAACCATAGGGAAGTGCGCGACGCCACGGCGCACGGGCTGCCACGACTGACACATCCACCAGCGCCACTAATCGGACACGCTGGCAGCTGTGATTGGTTGGCTTCGGAGCAAAACATCACTCCACAGTCAGCTTCGTCAACAATGAGGCTCTTGTAGAAGGTACTCTGATTTGCCCAAAAATGCCTTCACACATTACAAATATCACCAAATAGTTTCATTGCTATCAATATGTCCTACTTCTTGCCACCTCCAGAGACATTAAACTTGAAGAAGATGATGTCGCCATCCTGAACCACATATGTCTTCCCTTCTTGCTTGTACTTGCCAGCAGCCTGTCATGATACACAGTAACACAACACAAACACGAGTCACTGAATGTTAGTACTTCCATGGAATGGAATACGTGTGCCAGATTCGTGTTTAGGGTGCAAGCACTTTTCTTACCTTGACTGCAGATTCCGATCCAAGCTCTTTTAAATCTTCGAATTTCATCACCTGAGGAGGAGAGGGAAGAATCAAGCAACATACAACAACCAAACACATGGATTTAAAAATAAGCTTAAAGAAACCCAACGAAACACACCACAGCAATGCTCCTAGATGGAAAAAAGAACAGCAAAAAACAAAACACAAATATTTAACAGCAGGAAGCAAGGCAGTTGTGGAGAAATATAGGCAGCTGACCTCAGCACAGATAAAGCCCTTTTCAAAGTCTGTGTGGATGGCCCCTGCTGCTTGCGGTGCCTTGGTCTGCTTGCGAATCTGCCAGCATCGGACCTGGTGCAGGCAGAGACAAGACAACCCAAGAGTGGTAGAACGGCCAAATGCAGAACCAGAGACAAAAAAAAAATGAGATTGAAAAAAAAAAGGAAAAGAAAAGAAAAGAAAGAAAGAAAGAAAGAAAGAAAAAAACAATCAAGATCGAGAGAAGGGGAGGGGAGGGGGGGGAGGGGGGGAGGGGGTTCGCTGCTGGTAGGCGAAGTGAACTGGCCTCGTCCGACCCAGCAGTGAAGAAGCAGATGAGGCTGAGGACATCAGCAAAGCAACAACAAGCGCAGTCCCTCTTCACTAAAGGCACATGTTAAAAGTAGTTAACGGACCTCGTCAGGCCCAGCAGTGAAGAAGTAGATGAGGTTGATGGCAGCAAAGCCAGTCTTGATAATCTTGGAAGGCCACTGCCACAGGGAATGGAGAGAACCAGAGAAAGTTACAGAAAGGAAAACAGAAACACGAGCGGGAGAGAGGGATGGTGGCTGCACGG